TGAGACAGTTTCAAATCAAATTGGTATAAGTTTCAATAATTAACACACTGCATACTCTCTTCCTAGTGGTTATCTGCTGTACAAAATGCAGACATGATATCCTATTTACAAACACTATTAGAACAAATTCCTCTATTCATTAAGAGAATACAAGATGTATTTTTATAAAATCATATCCTTAAAAACAAATGTTTTGGGTAGTTTAATCTTTTTTATGTGCAGGGTCTCAATACACAGCTCCGACTCATAGTGATCCTCCGGTTTTATGTCTATCCAGTGCTGGATTAAGGCATGCACCACCATGCCTGGACTTCCATCGCTGGCTCAGCACCCAGGCGGCAAGGCTGGAGAAGCATGTGGTGTCAGGGATCAAATCGTGGGCCTTATGCTTACCTAAGCAAGTGCTTAGTCTGCTGAGCTATCTCACCACCTCTGGATAGTTTAATTTTTTTTTTTTTTTTAATTTATGTGTGTGGCCAGCTCAGCCCACCAGGGGACAGGGCTGGCTGGCATGTGGTGCTGGGGGATTGAACCATGGTCCCTGTGCTTTGCTAAGCTTGTTCTAAGTAGGTGCTTTAGACCACTGAGCCATCTCTCCAGCCCCCTGGATAGTTTAATTTTAACATTATATGAAAATGTTCTTCCTCAGAATATCCATTCAGTCATCATTTTTGCTATCTACACACTGACTTCTAATGGAAAATAGAACAATAAAATGTTACCAAAAGAAAACCAACAACTACCAGTCTTTAAAATGATTTTTTTTTTCTTTTTTGAGATAGGGTCTTACTATGTAGTTCAGGCTGTCTTAAACTCACTATATAGCCCAGGCTGGCCTCGAACTCAGTGATCTTCCTGCCTGAGCCTTCCATAGTAATCAAAACTTGAATAGATTCAAAATTATAAAATTGACTATAAACCTTTTTTTAAATATGTCACTTTGCCATATATTTCTAATGGTGAGTTCTCTCTCTCTCTCTCTCTCTTTTTTTTTTTTTCTTTTTGGTACTGAGGATCAAACTGGGGACCCTGCTCTTGCCAGGCGGGCGCTTATGCCTCTGAGCTATTTCCTCACCGCACTACCATGTATTTCTTTTGCCAAAGAAATTAGAAATACTATAGCAGTGGTGACAAACCTATGACATGAGTTCTGCAGTGGGCTGTTTATTATCACAGAAAGCTCTGAAAGGTTTGCCATCACTGTACTAAAATACTGCACTTATTATAACAAAGGAAAATCAAAATCAAGTCATTTTCTGGTAACTTTTATAATAGGACTTTTTTTTTTAAAAAAGATGGAATTTTTAAAAATGTATTATTTATTTATTTATTTATTTATTTATTTATTTATTTATTTAGTGTGAACACATAATAATTACTCACTTCTTCACAGCTTCACCTGGGGAAAGAGAAGTAACCACTGAGCTTCCAGGCTGTGATACATAAAAGAGCTGTTGCTCATTTTTGGTTGGCGCTATTTTACATTCATGCTCATGGCCCCAGATAACAAGATCAATGAAGTCGTCCAAAAACTGTTCTGGAATGAAGTTAGTACTTCCATGTTTACTCCTACACCAAGATTTGAAAAAACAACATAAATTCACAGCAATATAGAAGAATGCCATTTTTAATATGTGTCCACAGATCTTTCTTCATTCAGTGATATTACATCTTTCTTTAAGAAACTGCCCAAAGGATTGGAAAAGCAAGACAATCAGTGTCTAATTCCTGACCACCAAGAATTCACACCCCTTCAGGACATAGTCAAGCAGCAACCCCAAGGAAGATCACTAAAAGCTTTACTAGGAAGGACCCACGTTGGGTGAAATCAGGCGTGTGAGCTGTTGATGATAAAACACACAATCCATTCTCATTATACACTACCAAAGACAGAAAATGAAAATGAGTTAAATCTAAACTCTGTGGCATTAAAAAAAAATGTGTCCAGTCACTTGAAATAACTTATTTTAAGTATACAAACAATGGGAGTAAAAGTGTCAATTCAACATTAGTAAAGTTTTCCCTCATTTTATTTACTTATTTTGGTATAGGTAATTGAACTTGGGACCTTGTACTTGCCAGGCAGACACTTGTGCCTCTGAGCTACATTCCAATCCAAAATTTTTGATTATTAAATATCATATTAACAAATGCTTTGTAAACTATAGCTATATATTTAGAAAAAAGTTATCACCCAGTAAGAAACATAGGAACAATTTTCCTCAATATAAACTAGCATTATTTGGTGAAAGTGTTTGAATATGTAGCATTCAGTGTTTCAATCTAGCATTCAGTTGATCCAAAGCCAACACTCAATTCATCCAACCAATATTTAGTGAAATGTCTCAAGCAGGTAACAGTGTGAACAAAGTCCTTGTTCTTATCAGGGAATTAAGCAACAGCACAATGTGTGTGTGTGTGTGTGTGCGCACGCACGCGCATGTGTGACAAAACTTATCAGACAGTGATAGATGATATAAAAAATAAGATAAAAGGAAGAGCAACAGAAAAGGGAATGCTACCCTACATATGGCCTAGGCAGGAAGGGTCTCTCCAGGGAGTAACACACAAATTGCAGTGAGGGCTCAGGATGCAAGAGAAGACAGTCCTTTGCACAAGAGCAGCAGCAAGAGTGCTGAAGCAGACAGGTGGCGCAGAGGTTTGAGGTGGTCGGGAGGTAAGTGTGGCTGGACATCGTCACGCAGAAGCCAGGACATGAAATCAGGCGGCAGCAGTCTTGTGTATCTCAGAAGGTTGTCATGTAAAAATCAAACGCTGCAGGCATGAGATCATAACCACTCATAAAGACAAGCAGGAAACTGTCAAATGCACCATGATGTCATTTTCCTCTCATGGAACGTGGACTCTTTACTGAAAAAAGGAGTATGGTAGCAAACAGACTCTGATTTGTAACTTTTTTTTTTTTTTTCAAAATTTCATTGATAAACAGATAGCAATGAGACAGTTTCAAATCAAATCGGAATCTGATTTGTAACTTAAAAGTAAATCAATGGGGCCGGAGAGATGGCTCAGTGGAATAAGCGCTTCCCTGGCAAGCGCAAGGGTCTGAGTTCAATCCCCAGTTCTGCAAAAAAAAAAAAAAAAAAAGTAAATCGAAATGTCTTTCCTGACACTGGGAGTGACGGCACATGCCTATGCCATGATCTGATATTATGGAAAGCTGAGGCAGGTGGATTAGAAGTTCAAGCCCAGCTTGGGCAATTCTGTAACTTAGAAAAACCCTACCTCAAAAAATAAAAAAAAATTTTGGGCCGGCAAGATAGCTCAGCAATCTACAGCGCCTGCTTAGGCAAACACACAGGGACCAAGGTTCAATCTCTGGCACCACATTCTATGCCAATCCCACCCACAGGGTGGGCTGAGCCAGCCACACACAAAAAAAAATAATAATAATAATTTTTTTTTTGTATTTAGTACAGGGTCTACAGGGTCTCCCTGCCTGTGCTCAGCCTCCCAAGAGCTGGGATTACAGGCACGCACCACCATGCCCAGTCTCAATCGCAGTCTCAGCAAGCCCTGGGGGGCTGGGCCAGCATGATATGCTGAGGATAAAAGTAAAAATAAATTTTTTAAAAGGACTGGGACATACATAGTTTAATGTGAAGTTGCTGGGTAACTGAAAGAATAAAATAACCTTAGATCTATAATAACATAAATAAATGAGAAAGGACAAAGTTTCCTTACAAAGAATTTCAATTACTAAATATAGAAATAAGGTAAATAATCACAATTGCAATGCCATAGCAACTGCTAGAAACATGATCACCAAACAGATGGTAAAATTAGTGAACAAAGCCGGGTGTGGTGGCGCACACCTGTAATACCAGTACTTAGGAAGCTGAGACATGAGGATAGATGCAAATTTGAGGACCAGCCTCGGCTACAAAGTGAGTTCAAAACCAGCCTTCACTGCATAGTGAGACCCTATTTCAAAAGGACAAAAAAAAAAAAAAAAAAAAAAAAAAAATTAGTCGACAAAAATTTAAGGTCAAAGAGGATAATTACAGGATCTCAAAATATTTCCAAAAAAGGTCAGTGGATTAAAGCGAATGCAAGCAGGTGCAGGGGCTGGGGGTTCAACCCCTGGGCCTGCTGTGCCAGTCCCGCCCGTGGGGTGTGCTGAGAGGCAACTGAGACTGGGCGTGGTGGCATATGCCTGTAATCCCAGCTCTTGGGAGGCTGTAAACAGGAGGATCACTATGAGTCTGATCTAGTAATGAGACCCTGAAAACCCTGTAGACCCTTCCCTAAAATATAAAACAAAGAACCCCACAAAAAAGTCATTAATTACAAAGAACAGAAGACAGGTACTTTATACTACAGAAGTCTGTAACACTCAACCAAATGATGGTTAACCCACTAGCAGCGAGACACAGCAACCTCACAGTTCCAGGTGTCAGTAATGGGACAGTGTGGGTAGCATTACCCAAAAGGCTTTTGGATAAGATAAACGGTAAAGATGCAAGGCAGGCTGCTGCTCTCTGCCTGCCCAGCCATGGACTGATTCTCCTCTTCAGTGCCCCTATGCCATGCCACCCTGCCTTGCAGTCGTCCACCTACAGAGTGAAACAAACTGTGACCTCTGAAATAAACCTTTTGTTCTCTAACTTTTGAGTGTTAGTATTTTCTCCTAGCAATGCCAAAAATAGCTAAACACCTCTGTTGTCTTTTATCTTTCATTCTTCCTTAAATTCTTGAAGTTATACAAAGATAACACACATCAAAACTCTGGCCTATTCTTACTTTGAAACTCACTATTCACTCAAGAACATATGTAAAGCAAGGGCCAGCAAGAGAGTTCAGCAGACTAAGTGTTTGCTTAGGCAAGTGCAAGGGCCAGGGTTTAATCCCTGGCACCACATGCCATGCCAGCAACGGACTCCAGGCTTGATGGTGCACACCTGTAATCCCAGCACTGGGGAGGCTGAAAACAGAAGGCTCACTTCGAGCTGTGCAGTGAGACCCTGCACAGAAAAAAAACAAAAACAAAAACAAACAAAAAAACCTAAAAGACCATCTGTAAGGCTGGGGCTAGGGAGATGGCTCAGTAGAATAAGCTCTTGCCTGACAAGTGCAAGGCCCTGAGTTCAATCCCCCGTTCCACCAAAAAAATAAAATAAAATAAAATATATGTGAGGCAATGTAAGTTGGCCACTTGTTTTTTTGTTTTATTTTGTTACCAGGAATCAAACTCAGGACCTTGTGCTTGCCAAGTAGGTGCTTGAGCCCCTGAGCTACATCCCCGGACCTGCAAGTTAGCCTTCTGTGATTAGTATCTAACATAAGTCTGTATTAAGTAAATGCAGAGTACTCTATATTCAGTAAGTATGTTCAATAAAGAAATTATACAGTCAATCCCCATATCCCTTGGACTCTTCCTTGACAGCTTCCCAGGTTTCTCTCTTCTCTATCAGTTTTACTGCCATCTATCACTGTTACCTCCTTATTTTTTACTGTAGCAGCCATATAATAAATCTCAGCTTCTTCAATCTTCCTTTCAACCTTATTTCCTACCAACAGACTGAACTTATGATTACCAACAAAAGTAAGTCCATCTAGTTTATTTATGTTCTGGAAAGACACTCCCACATACATGCTCTAAAAGAAATACATATGTAATGTTCCTAAATATGTAAGAAAGCAAAAAACTGTAAATAAAAATGTTCACTGACAAGAGGAAAAAATCTAACTGTGCACATCAGTAAAAATGAATTAATTTCTAAGCATCAAAATGGATAAATCTTAGTACCTCAAACATAAGTTGTGTGTGAAATATACAGCATGATTATATTAAAAATAAATAATCAGTTATGAATATATATGATTAAAAGCAATGAAACCACTGGAATGAAACCACTCATTCAAACCTGAGAACAGTGCTCCCCCTGAGAAGCACCCCGAGAAGCGCTCCCCCTGAAAAGGAGATGAGAGCACACAAGGGCACGAGGCACTGCAGTGGTAAGAGCCCACCTTCTGCTGAAGTTAGGAGTATTAGCTCTGTAGTTACTTTTACTCCTCATCCATATGTCACAAATACTCCTTTATAGATATTAACATACACTAAAACAAATCAAAAATGAAATCACACAAAGCAAATCTAGGTTTTGCCTGATCCTGCACTAACAACTTTGAAGGAGTAAGAGTATTTTGCTGTAACAGGTGAGTGTGAAGACGCTTGAGGAACCTCCATCACTGACCCAAAAGTTTGCAGAGTACCTTTACCTGTTCTGATGAAGCACAAGTAAGTTAAACCAGGAGTTCTCGTCTTCTTTGGGTCTCAACATTGTTACTTTTTTATTGACAAACATCCGATAGAGCCTTTCATCTGGAATAGATCCTGAAGTAGACATTACATTATTTTAAAATTATTGCTTTCGTTAATAAATTTTCACTTCTACATTATGTACTTCTCAAAATATTTTGTTTTATTGCTGTTTAAAAACACACTGAAGTCTAGACTCACTCACAGCTGATGACATGCACAAGTTGATGCTCCAGGTTCTAACAAACACAAGCAGATTGCTCTGAGAGGACAGTTTCTACTTCAGGCACACCTACCGTCAACTTCAAGAATACGTGGGATAAAGCTAAGTTTTCTACACTTAAGTTTTTATGAAAACTTGTAGTAACTGTTTTCTGCTATAAAAACATTTTGTACTTTAATAATTAATTTACTAATACTTCTCATATCCATCAGTTTGCCCTGACCTAGTGGAAACAAAAACAAAGTAAAATAAATAATTAATTATGAACATTATAAAAGGAGAAAAGGGCAGGATGACAAGATGAGAATACCAGTGTGGAGCTGAAGAGGGTACGGAGGAGGCTGCTACTTTACAAACTGATACAGATCACAGAAAGAAAGCCAACAACGTAGATGCTGGATGTGGGTAAACCGCCAAGGTGGCACGAGGCTCATATAGCTGCAGACAAAGGCCTGGGCACCAATGGCTGGCCCACTTAGGGGCTGAAGCACCAAGACAACAAAAACTCAGAAGGTGGGGACGAGGGGGTAAACAGTGTGAGGGACAGGGAGGGCAGGTTAGGCAGATGGCACAAGCTTTGAATGGCAGGCTGCCTGGTGGCATGAAGAAGCATGGTGGGGAACAAGGAACGGTGACCTTCCTCTTGCCCCAGTGCCTGCAGGTAAGAAAACTGGAGGGGCACGGAATCTCAGAAGGCAGATGGCCCCATCATCCTTGAAAACAAAGGAATTTACTGATTTAAAAAAGTTCTAGAATTCATGGTGTTTACAGTCAAGGGTAGCTGTTTGGGATGGATACAGACTCCAGTTAAGGAAGGCAGACCACGATGAGCAGAGACTGAGAAAATGGACAAAAGATGCAGCGTCTGATAGTAACTGAGGCATGTAATACAATCTGGCCTCAGAGAAACTAAGAGGAGCACCATTTTCTAGAGGTGACCTCTAATACTGCAATAATTAAAACTATTCATAGCTTTTTAAAAAAAAATGTTCTTGCTCTATCGTTTGCAGAATCAGACAAAAAAGCACAGTAAATGAACCTGAAATACATTACTTCTAAGCAACGTCAAACTAAGGGGGAAAGTGGCATGGGAAGATTGATAGAATAATTTTAAAAAAGCATGTCATGTACATGTATGAATCTGCCAAAATTAAACCCAATAATCTGTAGTCAATGTGCACTAATAAAATATATAATGATATATATCTAATACACAAAACAATGAATGCACTTTTTAGAGTCTTTACTCTTTCTTTCACACAGAATAAAGCTAGCGAACAAGCTTTTACCTACTGAACACTATACGAACTGGTTAGTGAGGGTGATACAGAAAATTTCTGGTCAGCAGAGATGAACAACTCTGGACTAGCACTATCAACAGATGTGTAATATGAGTTACTGACACATGTTGAGTATGTCATTTTAAATGCCACATTAATGCAAGTTAAAAAAACAAATTCCACTAACAATCTAATATATTGTTTTCTAACTTCCCCTTAGTTCTTGAAATCTAGTGTGAACTTTACAGGCAGAGTACAGCACAATTCAGACTGACCACACAGGTGCCCCATACTTACATGAGGCCACAGGTTACTGTACAAGACAGCAACAATCAGACCTCTGAAAGACTTCCAACATACCAAACTTCAGCTCTAATGAAGAATTACTCAAAAGTAAAATTTTACAGAATTATTCTATAATTCCTTTTTTAAGAATTATTCTCTAACATTTAAGATTCTACATCTGAGCCTTAAAAAAAAAAAAAAAAAGCCTAAAACAATAAATAGATACTAAGGGGAAATTACTTTTAACCACAACTATTAAAAACAAGTATGTATCACCATTTATTGTTTCTTATAAATACTAAAAAATGTTAAACATTCCATTTTTTACAGTCCCTAATAACAAATAATCCAATTTGGCCCACTTTTTCCCAAATGGCTGTCTCTAAAATTTCTCTTCTCAATAATTGTTCAAACATTTATTAATTAACATATATATAGCAAAATGAAACCATCTTACCTAGACCATAGAGAGCAACTTTTGTGCTTCCTTTTTGAAGCAAAATTGGACTAATATCTATCTTCTCAACAGACATTGACCGTCCAAAGTGATTTATAAATCCTGCACAACTTAAAATATCCAGGGCACACAGTGCATCTGTCTGTACAAAATATTATCAAGAATATTAATGTGTACATAGAAATAAGTGATCTGATCTGTTACTACTATAACCATAATCCACATTCTACAGGTTGAGTATTCTTTACTGAAAATGCTTCAAAATAGAAGTATTTCAGATTTCGGAATTTCTCATATTTTAGATTGTACAGACTTTACCAGTTGAGGATCCCAAATCTAAACATTCAAATCCAAAATTTTTTCACCAGCAATTTTCAGATTTTGGATCTCTTATTTTTGGATTAGGGCTATTCAATCCACAATTACAAAATTTAGACTAGGAAAGTATATTTTCAAAACAAAATGCTAATAGCAAAAGTATTTTGCTACTTTTTTCTATTACAAATTAGCTACATCAACAAGAATCACATGTTACATGTAAAGCTAACATGACATCACAACTACCATGATACTTGGCCACTAAAATATAAAAACTGGCTGTGAAATACGTGCTTTGCAATATTAAGAAGACCTCTGAAAAACTAAGGAAAAAAAGACTACATGTAACTACTGACTTTTATTTGACCAGATTAAAAAAAAATATTTTGAGTTTAGGAGCTCCAATCTTATGTACATCCTTATCAGAAGCAACAAAATAATCTAATGTAGATTTAATGTTGCTCACAAAATAATCATTTCCTGTAATGAGATCATAAGCAACATCAAAGTACTGGTAACTATAGAGTACAATGAAAACGTTACAATTACACATTGTTAAACTCAGCCCTAATGATACAAAACAGTGATGGAAATTCTTTTAGAGCTCGTAATGATACAAACAGCCCATTGCAGTACATGTGTCACAGGTTCACCTGCACTGATCAAAAAGCACAGCTCTTTTAGCAATTCTTATTTTAGATATTTTTTTAAATCTAATAAGCAGCCTATGAATAACTGCTAGGAAGACAACAATATGCAATGTATTAATTATTATAACCGTCCTGCTAACTTGTTTTTTTTTTTTTTTTTTTTGTGCTAACTTGTTTTGAAACTGTCTCATTGCTGTTTCTTTCTCAATAAAATAAAAAATAAGTAAGTAAATCTAATAAGCAGCATAAATACTTAAAATAATGATAAAAGTGATTCTGACTTCTTGACTCAACTAGACTGCAAACTACTGGGAAAACTGGTGATCTCCACAGATAAACTAAATTGGTCATTTCCAAACCCTAAACTACGACAAAATTCTAATTACCCCAGTGGGATCATCATGATTGCCATGAATACTAAACACTGGAATTGAAATGTTGAGGTTGCCATCTTGGTAGTTCACCCATGGAAATCTTTAAAAGAAAAAAAACAAAGAAAAAAGAAAAGTTAAAGTTTCTAGGAAGGACAAAATCTGTTTTCCAGTCTCCTCAGGCATAGTCTATAATTTCAGTCAAGTTTGACCCAAATTAGTAGATAACTACCAGTTTGGAGAGCTTTAGAATGTAAAGGAGACAACAATTCATTCAACTAAAGTTTGAAGTATTACATTTTAGAAAATACAACAATAAACAGTGCTTATGAATTGTATGAAAGAGTGGTACCAGTCATTAATGGGAAGATTTCCAAAATTTAAAAGCATTTGTACAGGTTTTTTTTTTTTTTTTGTGGTACCGGGGATTGAACTCAGGCCCTTGCACTTGCTGGGGAAGCACTTATTTCACTGAGCCATCTCCCTGGCCCCTGTACAGGTATTTTTTGAGACAATCTTGCTATGCGGTTCATGCTGCCCTTGAACACACTATGTTACCCAGGCTAGCCTCGAACTCACAGCGATCCTCCTGCCCCAGCCTCCTAAGCAGTGCCGCAACACGCCTAGCACTGAAGCCTTATTTAGGTTATTTGTAGAGATGAGAAGGGAGAAAACATAAACCACATACCTTGGAATCTAAAAGATTTAGAATAACAATTCCAGGTCTAGCACCTCTAGGTGTACATTTAGTCTCCTGCCCACTCCTGCTTCCAGCTCTTCTCAGGACAAATAATACTAGCAATTTATTTTCTTTTGTTGTTCTTTTTTATTAGTGCATGTTGGCAGTACGCAAGGATTACATCCCTTGTGGGAAGTTGGCACACATATACATCGTAATTCTTGGTCATCCCCTCCTCCACCTTTTGATCACCTATTAGGAAGACCTAGCTCCCTACTTCTATTACCTACCTTTTATTTTGCCCTTTATAGTGGTACTTTGGTTCACACACTTAATTTTTTTGAAGATTCTGGTCACAAACTGAACAAGACACAAACCAAATCAAATGCAATGGTTAGGTTCAACACTGACCTTATGGTGAAATTTGATTCAGTGTTTGTCAAATTCAATATGCAACCAGAATCATAGAAAAAGTGAAGTTCATAAATCAAGGTACTTATATTTTGTGATTCTTATGTAGGAGAAAACATGCAATATTTAAGCTCCTTTGCCTAATTTATTTCATTTAACATTACGGTTTCAAGACACACTCATTTGCCTACAAATGACTCATTTATTCCTCTTTATGGTGTAGTAGTGCTCCACTGTAGGTAAGTACTACATTTATACCCATCTACTTGTTGTGGACTACAGACCACTTCCAGGATTTAGTCACTAATGAAGCGTGCCACTATAAACATGGGCATGCACGCATCACTCTAGTATGGTATCTTTAACTCTTTTGGGGAAGACACCCAGAAGAGGAATGCTCAGTAAAACGAAACCGCTAGTTCTAGTTTTCTGAGCAATTGCCGAACTGATTTCCACAGTGGCTGTCCTAGTTTACGTTCCCACCAACAGTGCTGAAGTGCTCCTCACCACACAGCCTTGCGGGCATTTGTTGTTATTTGCTTGCTTGACAATGGCCTTTCTTTCTCGGTTAAGATAGACTCTCAGCACTATTTTAACTTGAATTTCTCTCATGTCCAATATTCCTTCATGTATTTATTGGCCAGTTGTACTTCTGAGAAGTGTTTATGCATTTCACTTGCCCAATTATAACTGTAACTGTCAGAAGCACTTGGGACTGAGAATCACCAGTCAATTCTGGTGATCCATGCTAATTCTACAGAAGAAAAACAGCTCAGTAAGGGTTCATGCTATGTTTTTCTTATGAACAAATTAGAGTTTCTTAAAAAATATGGTGTGTTTTTTTTTTTTTTTTTTTTTTTTTGGGGATTGAACTCAGGGCCTTGTGCTTGCCAGGCAAGCACTTACTCTACTGAGCCATCTCCCCGGCCCCTAAAAAATATGTTTAAATTGCATTCTATTTCTTTTTCTGCAAACTGTGTCCATATTCCTATTTTTATTAGCATACATTTTTTTTCTTGAAAGATTTATATGTGGAAAATTGGGTATAATCTGCATAAATTGCTAATGACTAGATGAACTGTAACTTTTTTTTTAATTTTTAATTTTTATTTTTGAACTGTAACTTTTAACTTCACCTCACCTCACACAATTTTTTTTTTTTTTTTCGGAACCGGGGATTGAACTCAGGTCTTTGCGCTTGCCAGGGAAGCGCTTACTCCACTGAGCCATCTCCCCGGCTCACACAATTTTTACTTTTGTAGAAATTTGCTTTTAAAAAGATGTATCAGTCTTCACTCTTATGGCTTCTGGGTTTTGGATCACACTTTAACAAACCCTTTCTGTATCTTAAAATTTTTTTTAAATATCTAATAGTTTTTTCAGTAGTTACTGAATAACCCATTTTTTTCACACATTGAGATGCTACCTTCATGAAACACTAAATTCCTACATATACTTAAAGTTATTTCCGGAGTTTCTGTTCTCTTGCACTTGCCTGTTAATTCATGAGCCACACAACATTTTTAATTGTAGCATTGTAACATATTCCTCCCTAATCCTAATTTATAGAAAACAAAAGAAATGAAAGACATCCAACAAAATACCCATGTAATGTGTTCAAAAGTATCCACTGATACTTTTTTCATGAAAGACAAGACAAGCTGGGAGTAGTGGTATTTATGCAACTTCAGCACTCAGGAGGCTGAGTTCAAGGCCAGCCTGGGACACATAGTGAGACACTGTCTCAAAAGCTAAGACAGAGACTCTAACGAATGCTAATGGAGACTAAGGTAGCCCTTAATGTCAAGTGACATGCTACACAGTGTTTAAGAGGAGACATCATGGTAGCTGCGCTATTTGGGGTTCTAGAAGAATACCATAAATTTCAAAAGGACAGATCTTAAAAAGAAAAACTGATATTTGGTTATGATAATATTTTGGTCAAAAGACAATCTATAGGGTGGAAAAATATTTATACCTAATCAAAGCTTAATATGCAGAATATATAAGTAACTGATGTAAACGAAGTAGGAAAAGGTTTTTTAAAAATCTCAACAGAAGATATCAGGAATATAAAAATCTAAAATATACAGTCCCTATATTTGTACAATGATATACAAAAAACTCAAACTGCATTTACTATGAAAATAATTTATAGTGAAGGTGAAATGGCTAACTGGTAAAACATTTATCTGTATCATACATAAAACATACATAAATTTTATCACTCAAGTAATAAATATACTTACTTACTAAAACCAAAGTTGACTGACTGATCACTGATGATTTCAAACTGTACTGGACGATCACCCATGCAATATTTTCTAAGTAACTCCAGGCAAGTATGTAATGTTTTTCTTGAGGGCTTATTTTCATGGAAAAGATCACCACCTAACAAAATAAAATCTACCTAATCAACAGAAAATGGTGTTAAAATGAGATTTTACAGGTTAAATAAAACTTCAAACTATAGATGAAAGAGAAAAAATTTTCATAAAAGTAGTATTATATATGGCAGTTTAAGATCTTATGTTTCAACCATAAAAAGACTAGTAACTAATCTTCCTTCAGTGTAGGCTCCTAATCCGTGTGCAATAGAGCCACCTTTAAATTACTAAAAGTCCTTGAGGGCTGGTGAGATGGCTCAGTGGTCTAAAGCATCTACTTAGAACAAGCTCAACAAAGCACAGGGACCGCGGTTCAATCCCCCAGCACCACATGCCAGCCAGCCCCACCCCCTGGTGGGCTGAGCTGGCCACACACACACACACACACACACACACACAAATAAATAAAATTAAAAAAAAAATTTCTGCTAACTTAATAAAAAATAAATAAATAAAATAAAAGTCCTTGAGTCAGGTTTCCCAAGGCAATTATTTTTTTTTTAAATTGTAAGTCAAACAGAACCTCCTACTTTAACACAACATAAAGATAATCAATTCAGCCCAACTTATTCATTTAATTGTTATAGAACTAAATGCACCAACAGTCATAGAAATAGCAATCTAGAAAACAGATGATGACAATGTCCTGCCCTCATTTAACATTCTGACGTTTTTTTTAATGTATTTAGCACAGAATCTACAGTCTCACTACACAGACTGGACTCAGCGTGGTCCTTCCTGTTTTTCAGCCTCCCAAGCGCTGGGATTACAGGCAAGCAGCACCATGCCCAGTTTTAAAAGTTCACTTTGGCTACTATGTAGAATGCATACAGGGAGGAAGAATGAAGTAGAAAAACTGAGGTACAAAGACCAGTGGAGGGCAAGCGCTCTTCAGGTAAACCAAAATACAAGCTTGCTACTAAGTTTATAGGTGTGGGGTTGGGGAAATAGCTCAGTAGAATAAGCACTTGCCTGGCAAGCACAAGAGCCTGAGTTCAATTCCTGGTTCTGCCAAAGAGTAAACAAACAAACAAAGTTTATAGGTGTGAAGATATAGGATAGTGAGGAAGTCCCAGTTATATTGAAGAGGAAGAACCAAAGACCTTACAGAAAACTGAATAGAAACTGCAGAAGTCAAGGTTAATAATTTGTAAGTCACCAGGATTTATTTTTGTTTTCCAACTCTTTTCTGGGCTGTACACTGGTCATTCCACTGCGTGTTAGAATATTTCCCTATAAGTCCTATTGAAATTTCCAATTATAAATTAGTGTAAATTAGAATTTATCACCTCCCCACACAAATAATTATTTATCTTATTCTACTATTAGTACCACCATCCATCCAGACTCAACATACTTCAGTCCTCCCTTTTCCTCATCCACACCCTAGAACCCAAGTATCCAAATCCCACCTTTGCAATAGCTCCTACATTCATTTACTTGTTTTCGTTTTTAATGCCATTACTTTTTGAAAAGCTCAAAACAGTCTTCACTTAACAATTCATCCTGTCATACTGTGTTGCCAGAAACTGGCTCCTAAATTCAGTCTGAGCTCCTTCACCTGCACTTCTAATCTTTTGGCATGCTTTCTAACACACAACCTGCGGTTGAGTCACAGACTCACCAGTTACCTGACATACCTCATACTCTCTCCATCTGTGTCCTTCTTCCTGCTTCACCAGAATGTAGAATCTCTGTGCTCTTAACGCATCAAAATCTGCTCTTCTTTAAAGCCCAAGCTTAACGTCACCTCCTTTGTTATTTACAATTCTAATCTACTTGTGATCTCTTCCACCTCTAAATTCCCAGGAAACACTTTATGATTTTCCTATGGTTCTTTTAGGTTTTTATTATTGTTTATGTATTATTATTCAATGTATTTGGTACAGGGTCTCACTATGCAGCTTGGACTCCCAGTGATCCTCCTGTTTTCAGCCTCCCCAGTGCTGGAACTGCAGGTGTGTACCACCATGCCCAGACTGGACTTGGTGGCTGGCTCAGCAGGGCCAGTGCAGCATGTGGTGCCAAAGATCAAACCCTGGTCTCTGAACTTGCCTAAGCAGCTGCTTCCTTGGCTGCGCTATCTTGCTCGCCCTTCTTACAGCTCTTATAACATGACTGCCCATTAGTATTCTGGATATATGTTTTATGAAAGCACAAATTATGACAGAAATATTTTCATTTCAAAGAGAAATTGACCATGCACTCATTAAGCACCCCATGAATATTCGTAAATTTTAAGACTATTTACACCAAAGTAGCTCCTACTTGAAATAAAGATGCAACACATACAAACTGTGCTTTGAGGACTGGCCTGGTAGCTCAGCACATTAAAGTGCCCGCGTAGGCAGAGCACAGCAGCCAGGGTTCAATCCCTGGCAGCATGCCGTGCCACCCCCACCTGCAGGGCGCAATGAGATGGTGACTGAGATTGGGTATGGTGGTACACGCCTATAATCCTACAGTTTGGGAGGCTGAAAACAGGAGGATTACTACAAGTCTGATCTATGTAGTGAGACTTGTAGACTCTGCAAACCCTGTCCTAAATACAGACAGACAGACAGACAGACAGAAAGAAAACAAACTGTGCTTTTCCTTTTTTTTTTTTTTGTGGCTGGCTCAGCCTCCCCTGTGGGTGGGGCTTGCATGGCATGCGGTGCCAGGGATCAAACCACAGTCCCTACACATTAACCACGTTTGCTTAAGCAGGCCCTTTAGGCCACTGAGCTATCTCCGGCCCTGAGCTTTATACACCGATACTCAGACAGGCAGTGTGAGCACATAAGCCAACAGAGATAAACTTAGAGGGAAAGAGCCTAGTGAGTAAGGGAATGAGTAAAAATGACACAAATATAAGTCAAACTCACTTCATTTTCCTGGGCAAGTCTTAAAATTTCATCGAGTGTGACAAATGTATCATTTCCTCTCACTGCATCTTTCTCCATAAATCCAAGATGAATATCAGTTGCAACTAATATTTTAAATGTATTTTCATCATCACTGTATCAAAAAAAATATTTTGAATGCATTAAACGATATACGAGCAAAAGAGACCTAAGGACAAAATAATTACAGCAATTATGTATGAAGTAAAAATCATTTTCCTATCCTTGAACATGGCCTGAAATTTTGAAGTATTAAATTGATCTTCAAAATCAGTCTCCCTTCTTTGGCAGTAACAATACACAATGTACTAACCAATAAAAGAAAGAAAGAAAGAAAGAAAGAAAGAAAGAAAGAAAGAAAGAAAGAAAATAAAAAAAAAACAAAATCAGTCTCCCTAGCCACTACACTTAATTTAATACAGAACAAATGCACATGAATTTTAAAAGGTTCCATAACTGCTTCTGAAATGCAAACCCTTACTGTAACAAGTTCTACATACTTCCAGACCTTGACACTCACTTGTTCTATTCCCTTCCACCATGAACACCCAAAAGGTTTGATCTTTATTTCTAAACGTAGCTTACCTTATTTTGCAATTTCTAGGAAAATCAAATTTAAAAAGTCTTCTAAGTTTAAAAGATTTTATATTATATGCTAGTAACTTATATTCAGACTTCTAAAAACGCCTGACTCTACTCTCTACTTTCACTAATATATTTGGTGAAGTAAAAACAAATAAATAAAACAAAACACTGTTTAAGTGAAATATGGTAAAGCTACCTTTGTATGAAGCAGCACAATAGCTATTAACACTCTTAAACTTAAAATAACTTTTAATTTTTTTCCCCTCTGAGACAAGGTCTCACTGTAGAGCCCAGGCTGGCCTTAAACTTGCTATGATCTTCCTGCCTCAGCTTCCAAGTGGTGGTATTACAGATGTGTACCACACAGCTGAATTAATTCTTTTTTTTTTTTTTTTGCGGAACCAGGGAGTGAACTCAGGCCCCTGCGCTTGCCAGGCAAGCACTTATTCCGCTGAGCCACCTCCTCAGCCCCAGCTGAATTAATTCTTTAAAATACTTTTGGAGCCGGGGAGATGGTTCAGTAGAATAAGCGCTGCCCTGGAAAGTGCAAGGGCATGAGTTCAATCCACAGTTCCGCAAAATAAATAAACAAATAAATAAAATAAAGTACTTTCATTTTTAAAATTATTTATTTATTTATTTATTTATTTATTTATTTATTTGGTACAGGGTCTTGCTACACAGCTAGGACTCAGAGTGATCCTCCTGTCTCAGCATCCTACCACACCTGGTCTCTATGGTTGGCATGGCCACCCAGGGTTCCAATGCCAGCACTGCAAGTGGTACTGGGGATCAAACTCGGGTCCTTGCGCTTGCCAGATACGCACTTAGACCACCAAGCTATCTCCCCAGCCTAAAATACTTTTCTATCTATGATCTCAATTCTGAAAAATTTAAAGAGTAAATACTGAGAAGTTAAGTGATTTATTGTCCAATTAGTGACAGAAGGAGTAAAAGTTACAGTGCAAACTCAGGCTACTAAACCAGAAAAAGAGTTCAAAAAATTTTTTTGTATGTATCTACAAAATACAAATATATACAATAAAACAAGAATTTTGCAAGATTTTTCTTCAGAAATTTCAAAAATAATATACACAAAGTTATGAATGATATACATGAACTTTTTGGATCAGATCCTTCTATAGCAGTGTGTAGAGTATATTCACAAAAATTCTCTCATTTAACCCTCAAAATTAATTGAGAAAGATATCATTATTCTAATTACAGCACCAATGAAACAGACAAGGTGAGTTTTGACCAAAGGCTTGAATCCAAGCGAAAGAACCAAGTCTAAAGTTTTTCCATTTAACCTTTATATTTATATCCATTTTATTCAAACTTATTTTAAATTCAAGCGATACAGCAATTTATTCTAAAAATCTGCCTTAAGTAGAACTGCATTGACTAATGGGATTTAATCACAAAAATTTAAGGATATTTACAGCTTCACTATTGTAAGACAAAGCCTACGAAAATAAGCTTACATACTGTAGCAATAAAACAAATTAATGCAAGACTCCAAACTATAGCACTATGCTATCTTTTGGATAATAAACGAACATACAATAATAACATTAAACATTCCAAATGTTCTTTTTGATGACTAACACTTCCTATCCAAAGGTAAATTTATTTACTGTTAATTAAGTTTTCTTTTAATATGCTTATAGTTGCTAGACTTTATTTTTTTTTTTAGTTTTAATGGAAAATAGCAACGCGACAGTTTCAAAACAGGTTAGTAGGAATGTTACAATAATTAATACATTGCATATTGTTGTCTTCATAGTAGAGTACAAGATGCAGACATGATATCTTGTCTAAACACTATTAATACAAATTTTTCTTCCCATTGAACTAAGAGAAAGTAGCTGTCTATCCTATTTTGTACATATAGATATATATTCTTTTTCACTACAAAATGGTCCTTCATTTACATCCCCCTTTTTTGTTTTGTTTTGTTTTGTTTTGGGGTATTCCACTGCCATTCAAATATTGCAGGTGCTTGAACTCAGCAAAATAACCCAGTACAGTCCAGTAGTCAATAATAGTAGTGGGTATCCGCAGTTGTTGACTTGAGCCTTTTACAGCTCATTGATAGGCTTTAACAAGCAAAAACAACAACGGATTTCAAGTCAGACTTACGGTGCATCCGCAGGACTCATTCTGATGCCCAGTAGAGGTCCCCTAGACCAGGTTTCTCCGCAGCTACCTCTGTGTGTTGCGTTCAAGTACGTCAGAAAACTCACTCGATTCCAAATTCTAAAAACAAATACCATAAAAGACTTTTTAAAAAGTTGTACAAGCACAAGGTCCGGAGTTTGTTCCCCGGTACAAAAAAAAAAAAAAAGAAAGAAAGAAAGAAAAAAGTTGTACATATTTAACCAACACGAGTTAGGTTGCATAAGATAACAGACTTCTTAAATAAGCCGACTTCAATTTTGGAAAAGTCCTATTTTCGTGTAAAGGTCTATTATACTTTTTTTCGTGAGCTAAGACTAGAAAATAACATCTGCGGTGCCAATTTAGTTTTTCCATTATGGTTAAACTTATCTCCTATTTTCTTTTCCCTTGCTCTTACTAAAAATAAATGTTTATTACATAAACGGAAAAAACGGGCCACATGGACTAGCTCAGCGCACGACTCTGGAGGCTGAACGTGCGCGCAGCGAACGCCATGAAGCGCAGAGGCAGCCGCGTGTCCAGCGCAAACGAGGCTTCGGGAGGCGCAGGCTTGGGCTTGGAAGCGAAGGGCCCCACAGCAAAGCTGGACTGGGCACGACGCACGCGGCCCGCGGAGCGCCGTCTGAGCCAGCAGCCGGCCAAGCCGCCACGTTCCGGCCCGGCAGCGGCGACCCTGAAAGCCCTTTCGAGGCCCAGCCTCTCCGGAGCCTCCCAGTCGCCAAGCCCCGCGCGGGGCTCCCAAGTCAGGACGCGGACGCGGGCTTCCCAGACCCCTCAGAGGAGGGCGCCGGCTCCAGAGCCCGCAACACCAGGCGGAGAAGACTCCCGCAAGACCCCACGCACCTCCTCAGAGCCTCGCCTCCGCATCCAAGGCTGTCTCCAGCCCCGCAGGTAGCCGATATTCGCGGGAAGGCCGGCAGCGCGCCGAAGGAATCCCCGGCCGTAAGCCTGAACCGGGCGCGGGAAAACCGCGCTTCTCGCGATACTTCGGGAGGCCCAGGAAGCCGCAAGCCTGGTCGGCTCCCATTGGCTGCCGCGCCCGGCTAGGCGGCAGGGGCGGGAGCAGCGGGACCCCGCGCTGGTGAGGCAGCCAATCCCGAGCAGCCGGCGGACATACCCGGAAGCGAGGCTCGCGCTGGCCGGCCGGCCCGCGGCGGGTGTGCGTCTCTGTCGGCCAGGGCCGGTCCCGGGGCGCCCGAGGGGCCAGGAGCTGGCCGGGCGGCGGCGGCGGCCTTCCGACCCTGGCCCGTCCTGGGGGTCTGGCGGCGTGGGTGGGTACTGGGCGTGACCGGGGCGGCTTCCCGGCGCTTGGCGGCTTGGAGGCCTGGGCGTGTTCTCCAGCCCACCAGTGACAGCCGCAGCCCGAGCTGGGCTGGCGGCGACTCCTGCCCACTTACCTGCTTCCCTTTATTGTCTTCCTTGGATCTCGGATTAGTGCCATAAAAATAAATGCGGAGCCTTTTAATTAGAAATCTAGTCGTTCAGTTCCATTGTATAGTTCTTGATCTGTGGCAGATTGTTTTAATCAGACCTCAGCGCACTCACCTGTAAAATGGGTTTGTAGCCCCATGTGTCACAAAACTCTTGCTAATCTTACCTTTTTTTTGTGATGGTAACAGGGATTGAATTCAGGACCTTGTGCTTGCCAGGAAAACATTGATTGCACTGAGCTATCTCTCCGGCCCCCTTTCTTACCCTATTTTGATACATGGTCTTTCTACCTAGCAGCTCATGCCGGGATTACAGGCGTGCGCCACCATGCCTGGCTCAGGGGCCGTGCCCAGGTTCCAGGCCGGCCTGGCATGGCACACTCGGGCTCAAACTCCGGACCTTGCCCTTGCCAGGCAGGCGCTTAGGCCTCCGAGCTATCTCCCCGGCCCCACGAAACTTTGGAGGCACTGGCCGAGGTAAGATCGCTCTCAAATTGGAAAGCACTCCAAGTTAGAAGACACAGCTTCCTGATGGGTTTTCATTATATAAGAATCTCGTTTTATTTTACACTGTGAGCCAAGGAAATGCAGCTGGGCTTGACATTTTAAGCTAAATACACCAAGAAAATGTAATGTGTAATGTTATCTAGAACTTAAAATTCAGAATTTATATAAAGGGAGTTGTTATGAAAATGCTGGGAAGAATAAAAATCTGTGCCATAACGTCACTATACTTTATATAACTACAGGTGAACCTTAGATTATTTATTGTTATCTAAATATTTAATAAATTTATGATTATTTTTGTGTTGCAAGATTCAGGAAATACTCTGAAACTAAAGGAAAAATGAAAAATTCAAGAGAATGAAACAAGCAATTTTTATGGGTTCTCAAAAGAATGAAAAGCTAGATAGGCCTTAGAAATTCTTTAATGTGAGCTTTGATAGGTTTTTGACAGTGTTGTAGCAGAGAAACAGGCAGAAGGAAAAAGAGAAGGAGGCTTCATTACCTTGGAGGACAGGAGAGAATCTGGGAAGATAAGGAATTCTCTGGATCGGAGCAAAGGGAGGCTGAGGCTTTCATGTCCTTTTGCCCGGGGTGGGGCTTGAGGGGGATGTTTAGATACGCCTGAGGGGCTGATTGGGGCCTTCCCTGAGGTGGCGGGAAGGGAGAAAGGAAACTGCACCCTGGGCTCAGTTGGAGAAGAAGGGGGAGGTGGGCTCTGGGAAGATGAGCTGTTGTTGTAAGGGCTTCAGCCATATTGCATGGCCACCATAATGGTTCAGCAACTCATACTAGGGCCAGAACCTGTCAAGCTTTATAGTTTGCAGTGAAGTTACAGGCCCAGAGAAGTTATCATAAATGGTAGATTTGGGGCTGATGAGATGGCTCAGTGGTCTAAAGCACCTACTTAGAACAAGCTTAGCAAAGCACAGGGACTGCGGTTCAATCCCCCAGCACCACATGCCAGCCAGCCCCGCCCCCACACACATAAATAAATAAAATTTTTAAAAAATGGTAGATTTAAATTTGAGTCTGGAGCTCTTGCCACTAATAAAATTTAATAACACATTAAGATTGTATACTAGGTCACATTAGGCAGACTCATGTGTATCTAGGGAGTGTTTGGGCAAATGTGATCTCCTACAGCCTGCAGCCTGGAACACTGAATCCAGCCACGTTTACTGCATAGCCAGAAGGTACACCATGGTGACGGTCACTTTCAAGACACAGGGGTGCAAAAGGAGGAGTTGCAACGAGACGTGGAGGCCCTCTTGAGGCGCATGGTCAGAGCGCAGATCCTGACCAGCAAGGCTCTGCAAGCTGCCGCCCAATGAAAGGAGTGCACCTCTGGGAGATGTATGCTTACTCTCTTAGGCCTTTCATTCATCTTGTCAGGACTTACTGTTGGTGGAGCCTGCATTTACAAATACTTCATGCCCAAGAGCACCATTTACCATGGAGAGATGTATTTCTTGGATTCTGAGGACCGTGTAAATTCCTTTCCTGATGGAGAGCCTTACTTCCTACCTGTGATGGAGAAGGCTGACATTCGTGAGGATGACAACATTGTCATCATTGATGTGCCTGTTTCTACTTTCTCTGATAGTGATCCTGCAGCAATCATTCATGACTTTGAAAAGGGAATGACTGCTTACCTAGACATGTTCCTGGGGACCTGCTATCTGATGCCCTTGAATACCTCCATTGTTATGCCCCCAAAGAATCTGGTGGAGCTCTTTGACAATCTTGCAAGGGGCAAATATTTGCTTCATACTTTTGTGGTTCGAGAAGACCTGGTTGCTGTTGAAGAAATTCGTGATGTTAGTAATCTGGGCACCTTTATTTATCAACTTTGCAAGAACAGAAAATCCTTCCACCTTCAACGGAGAGACCTCAGTGCTAGGTTTCAGTGAGCATGCCATTGATAAGTGCTGGAAGATTAGACACTTCCCTAATGAGTTTATTGTTGAGACCAAAATCTGTCAAGAACGAGACAGCAGATGAGAGTATCCTTGGTGATAAGAAGTTCGAGATTTACAATATGACTTCAGTATTAAAGAGGAGATATACAGTACTCAAAAAAAAAAAAGATTGTATACTATTGCACATGTGAAATTAAGTAGAACAAACTTGTTGGATCATCTCAGAATTCAGTCCAGACAAAATCAAGAGTTAGGACTTTTAATCAAATTTAATACTACAGATTTTTTTTTTTATGAGCAGAATATATTTATTGAGAGAAAGAAAGCTCCTGTCCTGAGAGAGGGACAGGAGGTGGGGGGGCCCAAGTGGGTAGTTCCCTGGGAAGCTGTCTCTTCCAGGGATTTTTATGATGTAAAACCATGCAGGGCTAAGGTGGAGAGACTGGGAACTCGCTTAGGTGGGCAGGAGGTAGGGCAAAACTATGGTCAACCAATAGGATTACAAGCACCATTGCTCAGGTAAAACTGATTAAATCCAGTATCAAATGGGAAAGCGAGTCATGTAGCAAGCGGGCATGAATACGGAACAGGGTCTCTTCCTGTTGGGGGTTGGGCTAGTGATTCATTTGGGCTCTTTCAAATTGATTGATATTATTTAGAATATCAATCCCTAATGCCCATCCCTAGTGAGGTATGTAGCTATGTTTCCTCTTTCTTTTGTCTTGGTCTTGAGTTGTGGCCCACACGAGAGTGTCTGTCTCTTCCAAAAGTTGCAAAGTCACCTTGTCTTCCATCTTGTCTCCTTGAGGTCCTGGCCCTGTCTGACTGCTTATAATATTTCTGTCTAACTTAGCTGCCTGCAACATTCCCTGCTCTGAAGTAACCTGAACTGCCGTGAGGGAAATATGGGCAGTGACCGCTCTGGCTTCTTCAAGCTGAAACGGGTCATAGTTGTTGACTGGTAGTCAGATATATTCTTCAGAGGTTCTATCTAAAGGCCCTCAATAGACACCAGGCATTTTCATTACAGCTTTGAATCTTTCTGGGCATCCCCTCCTTCTTTCTAATTGATTCCTGCACCCAGGCGTCCCTGAGTAGCCCTCTCCAGAGCAGCTGGATGCTCCTCCGTCCAATGATCTCAGTGGGAAACTACAAAATGATACAGGGAGAAAAACTGGTCTGGGGTGGGTGACCTCCAAACAATATAGGGAGCCTCCAAATGACATAGAGCTCTGGACCTGACCTGCACGAGTTCGTGTTCTCTAAAACCGAGGAATGAATTTTAGAAACAAATGGAGGTTATGAGCAGAATATATTTACTGAGAGAAAGAAAGCTCCTGTCCAAGAGAGGGCCAGGAGGGCCCGAGCGGATGGTCCCTACAAATATCTCTTAATGCCTGATATACCAAGGTGTGGCCTAAATAAAATTAAACCTGGCACCTATTCTTAGGGTTATAATCTTCTCCTCCATCTCTTTTTTTTTTTAATTTTCTGGCAGAACCAGGAATTGAACTGAGGCTCTTGTACTTTCCTAGGAAGCACTTATTCTACTGAGCCATCTCTCCAGCCAAGGTTATAATCTTCTAAGATACCAAACTCAAATTTGATGAAACAAGACATGTTGTAGCACCAAAACCAGGAAAAGTCATCTAATGAAAGAATCAAGATCAAAAAAGATCAGGGATGGAGAAAGAACAAAAGAAGTAACATCTGAAAATAATTTTGAAAGGCTGGTAACATTTCAACAAATATAATTTGGAGACTGAGTAGTGGTGTTTTTAGAAAATGATGATGATTCTCTTTTAATTGATGAATGCATATATACTGGGTAACTTTTAAACTGATACTAGTTTACAAATTAATATGGCACAAGGCAAGTGTGGACTACACAGTCTCAAGAAAGATAAATTAGGGCTGGGGAGATAGCTCGGCAGTCGAAGCGCCTGCCTTGCAAGTACGAGGACCTGGTTTGATCCCTGGTTCCCAGAGCACCTGGCATGCCATGCCAGCCTCCAAAACCAGGCATGGTGGTGCACCCCTGTAATCCCAGCACTTAGGAGGCTGAGACAAAAGGATCACTGTGAGTCTGCGCTGCATAGCAAAAG